TCATTCTTTCTTTAACCGCACCACATTTTCGAATGCGCACGCAAACATACCCTCACTATGGACTGCGCACCCATAAATACCCATACTTTAATATGCGCTTAAGTTATGCGCGCTAAATTTAAGTGATATTAATTAAATGCGTCAATTTAAAAAAAAATTTTCTTTATTTAAAAATAAAATTGAAAAATCTGCAGTCGCAGCAGATTTTTCGAAAATCCCCTAAAATTTAACTAAATTAAATTTGTTTCCTCTCCTCGAAAGCTGTTTCTTCACTTGACAATAATTTATTTTAATAACAGAAAACATTAAAAAAATCGCAAAAGGATCCAAGTCAGGGAAAGCAGTAATATTGTTTTTTTCGGATTTCCTAAAAATCCTGGTATTTAATTTAAATTATAATTTCCAGCCTCTGAAGCAATTTATTTTCTTTTAGTAATTATTTATTTTAATAGAAGTGTTTAAAAAAATATGCAAGAGGATCCAAGGCGAGCACAGCTGTGATTTTTATTGTTTTTAAATAATGATTCATTTTATGTTCTAGGATTTCTGGAAAATCCGTAAGAAAAAATCAAAACTACTGCTTTCTCCGCATTGTATCTTCTTGAAATTTTTTTAAAATGGCTTCTAACATAAAACTAAACAATTATCCAAAAACAAAAATTGCTTTCGAGGTGAGAGAATATTAATTTAGTAATTTTTTTTAAATTTTTGGAAAATACTCGTCAAAAATTCAAATATACAGTTTTTCCGCCTTGGATCCTCTTACAATTTTTTTAATTACTTCTAACATTAAAATTAACAATTAGCAAAAGAAAAAATTGCTTCTGAGGCATGGAAATGGTAATTTAGTTGAAATACCGAGATTTTTAAAAAAATCATAACTATTATAAACATGGAACTACTCAAATAAAATATCTCTGAATATCTTTAGTAAGGGAGGTGTTCCGGTTGTGGGCACCCTTTTGTTTTTGCCTCATAACATTTTTCCATGTGCATATTATACAAATATATGTGTACGAATTTAAAGCTAGAGGTCTAAGGTGACTGTCAGTGAAGGAATTAAATTGATTCCTTTAAATAAAAAAGTTTTATTAGAAATTTAGTGAAATGGAAATTTTTTGACAAAAAAATTTTTGTACCCGGTTGTGGGCACCCTTGAAAAATCCGCTAAAAATGGAAAAATATTAAAAGAAACCAACACAAATGAAGAAGAAATGAAAGTTTCTTTGTTTTAAGAGACTTCGGCGGCATAAAGAACAAAAATGATGACACGTTTTCACACTATGCTCATCGCTATCAGAAGCATAATGCTAACATGTGAAATAGCTGGCCCGCATATCATAACGCACTTCTAATGCACTGAACGACTATATTCAATGCATTTAATGGAGTTTGCGGCTGTCAATTTCCTTGGCAGAAAGTTTAGATAGATGAGACAGTAGTCTACATCATTGTCAGATGGTAGAGCCTCCTTAACATAAGGATGCCTACAACCGGGAATGACAGTCATTTTTTAAAAAGACCAACACATTTTGTGATGCAGGATTTTGGTTAAACACGAAGGTAAATTACAAAATATAATGACAACACTGCAAAAAAAAATCAAACCCTTTTTTTCTGAACAAATCTACACCCATATGTTGCTCTTCGAAAACAATACAAAATTACTTTTTTATTTATTTAATGCAAATTTTCTTTATTATGCTCACAGTTATTACACAAATGCATATATTTGTTTCGTTATCAATACGAAAAGTCCGTATTGTCAACGAACACGGCTTGCAATACTTAGATCAGTAAAGTCTGCTTGCCGTTGAAGTTTACGTAGGGGTCCCCACAACCGGAGCGTGTCCACAACCGGCGCACTTCCCCTATATTTCAAATATAAGTAAATAATGTTAATATTTTTGCACATTGACTCTAAACGTCCTAGAAATAATCTCAGGGCATTTTAGAGATATTTTAATTATATCTCCAGGATATCTTGAGAATATCGTCTCGATATCCCGAAGATATCCTGCCAAGCGGCAGTTTGGATATCCCACGGATAACCTACGGATATCATGTGGATTTTCTTAGGATATCTGACATTTATTAAGGACATCCTGAAGATATCCTCAGGATATCCTTTTGTTGTAAGGGTTAAAAGTTAAAATAACAATATCTTGTATAATAATCGAAATTTTGAAAACTTTTTACACAACTTATGTATGTCCGGTAAAACAACAAAATGTCAAATTATGAAGAAAATCTGTGATTCAAAGTTTACCCTGAGTATACAACGCCCCATATGTGAAATTAAAAAATTTTTTTTGAAGCGCTATTTTTAGGCCTTCTAAAGTAGGACCTCTTTTTAGACAGTTGGTAATCGCCGATTGAATAGTATTACTTGTAAGTTTAATTACTGAGGCATTTCACGTCAGAAATATCACGATTTGCAAACGGTCTGCCGATTTTCGCAAAACTTCGTGGGATTATAGTCCTATATAAGAAACTTCTTTCCTCCAAATTTTTTCAAAAAAATTCAAAATTGTTGAAGATGCGCCATTTTGAATTTTAGGGTCAGTCCATTATATTTCACCTGAAGCCGTTGCGGCCTATTTTTAAAAAATCTCATAATTTGTCAAAATTATGTTTAATATCCATAGAATCCATTTTTGAGAATTATTTTATAAAATTTTTTGAATTTAACTTAGAATTTTAATTTTTAAGTTGAGTTGGACAGAAAAAAGGTTAGATTGACAGTTATGAAAATTTAATAAAAAAGCATGGAAATAATTTAGATAATACAAATTTCTTGATTGATATTTGTTAAAAATGGGCTAATTTACTTGTATAAATAGATTATTATGTAAACATAGCCAAAATAATAGATAAAAATTGATATTAAAATTTACCTATGAAATGTCAAAAGTCACTGCATTTTAATTACATTTTTCTAAAAAGTTTATAAATATTAAACAAATTTATTACTACATAATGTAAAGTACTTTCAATGTACTTTCATATTATGTGCTAACTTTTTAATTTTATAATAAAGAAATATGAAAATTTTTACCTTTAATATTGTGTGTTTCATGATTTTTAGTGATTTTAATTACTTATTTCTTCTCAGGTGCAAGACCAAAAAATCCCATTTTTGTCTTAATATTTAAGTTTGACCTTCTTTTCCATTCTATTAAATTTTGGTGATGGAGAACGAGCTACTTTTCAGTTTTATTCATGTTTAAAAAATCTGCTTCCAAAAGCGAGTTTGTTGGTTAAATTGCAGGTAATTTTATAAAACTGAAGTTGGCTATCACAGTAGTCTTGCAAAAATCTACTTGCATTTTAACCAACAAATTCGTTTTTTCAGCAGATTTTTTAAACTAAATTTAAAATGAAAAGTAGCTCGTTCTCCATCACCAAAATTTAATAGAATAGAAAAGAAGTTCAAACTTAAATATTAAGACAAAAATTGGATTTTTTAGTCTTGCACCTGAGAAGAAATAAGTGATTAAAATCACTAAAAATCATGAAACACACAATATTAAAGGTAAAAATTTTCATATTTCTTTATTATAAAATTAAAAAGTTAGCACATGATATGAAAGTACATTGAAAGTACTTTACATTATGTAGTAATAAATTTGTTTAATATTTATAAACTTTTTAGAAAAATGTAATTAAAATGCAGTGACTTTTGACATTTCATAGGTAAATTTTAAAATCAATTTTTATCTATTATTTTGGGTATGTTTACATAATAATCTATTTATTCAAGTAAATAAGCCCATTTTTAACAAATATTAATCAAGAAATTTGTATTATCTAAATTATTTCCATGCTTTTTTATTAAATTTTCATAACTGTCAATCTAACCTTTTTTCTGTCCAACTCAACTTAAAAATTAAAATTCTAAGTTAAATTCAAAAAATTTTATAAAATAATTCTTAAAAATGAATTCTATGGATATTAAACATCATTTTTACAAATTATGAGATTTTTTTAAAAATTGGCCGCAGCGACTTTAGATGAAATATAATGGACTGACCCTTTAATATTAATTTTATAAAATTTTAAATATCTCGAAATATTGTTTATGGATTTTTATGAAATTTACACATTTTTCAGGTAAAAGTATGTACTTTAGAATGCAAATAAAGTTAATAAAAAAAATTAATTTTTAAATAAAAAAATAAAAAAAAAAATTTTTTAAACAATTTTTTGTTTATTTACTCCTCTCTGAGAAAAATGTTATTAACATATTTGGATTCCTTGTGAATTCACCTTTAATTTCATAAAAAAAAATTGATGAAGACTCAAGTGGTTCCGGAGATATTGAATTTTTTGTAAAAAATAGTCATAGTTACAGCAGCAATGCACGACTGCGGTAACGTACTACGCGACTTGTGCAGTTTGGTGCTATGGCGCGGCGACGCTTTTTTACAAAAAATTCAATATCTCTGGAACCAGTTGAGTCTCTATCAATTTTTTTTATGAAATTAAAGGTGAATTCACAAGGAATCCAAATATGTTAATAACGTTTTTCTCAGAAAGGAGTAAATAAACAAAAAAATGTTTAACAAAAATGTTTTTTAATTTTTTTAATTAAAAATTAATTTTTTTTATTAACTTTATTTGCATTTTAAAGTACATACTTTTACCTAAAAAATGTGTAAGTTTTATAAAAATCCATAAACAATATTTCGAAAAATTCAAAATTTTATAAAATTAATATTAAAATTCAAAATGGCGTATCATATCTTCAACAATTTTAAATTTTTGTTGAAAAAATTTGGGGGAAAGAAGTCTTTTATATAGAACTATAATCCCACAAAGTTTTGCAAAAATCGGCAGACCCTTTGCAAATCGTGATACTTCTGACGTGAAATGCCTCTACTTCAAATAATAGTCAGAAAAAATCAGTTATAATTAATTAAATAAATAAAATTAAAACTTAATATTATAAAGTTATTGTAATTAGAAAAAATTACTAATCGATTATTATTCTTCCACAGATCAAAGTATCACTTGCTGCAGTCGGAACGATAAAAAAAGATGTAAAAGAAAGTCATTTGCAAGACGTACTTACTGATATTGTGGTTGCAGCATTAAGAGGGACAAATGTTCATCTTAATTTATCTCAGTATTCATCATGTCCTCGACTTTCAAGAGAACATGATCAAACTGGATATTCATTACATGGACAATATGATAGTATGGTAAGCTTAACGCAATAAAATATTAATAGATTTTAGTATTTTTTAACAGCTGAGTAATTCAAAAGATCCATAACTGAGTTAAAATACTTGTACTAATTATTATTATCAAAGTTCTTAAAATAACAACAAGTTGAATAACGTAGCACGTACTGTACACAAATTTGTAAAATTAAGAACTAATTATAATTTCTAATTGACGATCATCAGTACTCAATATGCAATCAAACGTTATTGACGTATTTTTATAAACATTATTGTGAAGATATTTATATTTTAAAACAAATTTTGTAACATTTTAATTATTCAAGCATAATCTGAGCGGGAGGTTTGACGTTGAGGTATAATGATGTGCACCGTCGATTATTGTCCGGTACACACCATTAGAACTCGACTGTCGATAAACCGGTTGTACTCAGGAGAGGTTTTCTACAGTTTCCCTCTTCTCTGGCGAGAAAACCCATTGACGGGTGGTCCAGGCGGAATGCGAGTACTCCTAATAAAGTCGGCTGTAGACGCAAATTAGGTTAATATATAGAAAAATTTCTAAGTAGAATGGTTATGCTTAATCCAAAAAGTATTTCTCGGGGACTCTTGTCGAAGTGCGTAAGGCCAATAGGGCAGGAGTATAAACAATATAAAAAAAATTATTCAAGTATCTGTAATAGACAATTCAGTGATATAATTTGAAATTGTAATCATTCCTCTTTATTAGACACACATTCAAGAAACCCATATTTCTAAATGCTTGATTTTATAGAAAAAAAGTATTGGTTTAAATGATAAATTAAAAAAAGATGTATTTTTAAAATTTTATAAAATAGTTAAAAATAATTTAAAAGTCTTGAAATCAATAAAGTTAACATGCAGAAAGATTTTCCAGAAAAATTATTCACAAAAATTAATTAAATTTGTTCTAAACAAACATTACAAATAACAAGTGCACTGGTTTGACATTTTTAAAGTATAAAACTTGTTTGTTTTAAAAGTATATTAAGCAACAAAGGTATAAAGGCAGCCATTTGTTTACGGTGATTTTTGTGGCGGCACGTCGAGGGTGGCCCGAGACCGGAACGAGTGGCACAAAAATCATCGTAAATAAATTGGCAGCCTTTAAGTCCCGTGTTACTTACGATATTTTTTATTCCAAAGGCACAAAAGTGGCGATTTCAGATAGCAGACGACAGGGAGTAAAAGTCATTCACTTGTTCGACTTGTATGAAAATGGCGGCCTTTTTTCCCATGAGCACAAATAACGCATGGGACTAGCTGTTTTTTTTGCCCATGGGAAAAAAAGGTCGCCATTTTCATATGGTCGAACAAATGAGTGACTTTACTCCCTGTAGTCAGCTATCTAAAAGCGCCATTTTTGTGCATGTGGGATAAAAAAATAATTTCTCAAAAGAAAATTTGTAAAGCACAAAGCATAATTTAAGACTTTACCTTCAGTAATTTACAAAAATTTATAGTTAATTAATATTTACTGGTGCCGCCCTACCCCTGAAATCTCCCGTGTATTTTACGTAGAAGAAAGACAGTTTTTGGTAGATTTGCTATAAAATCCGTAAAACATTAAAAATCTCAAAATGGCAGCTTCAAAATATGAACTTAAAAATTGTTAGGTATATTCAACAAATCCTGTTGGAAAATCTTACTCTTGGTATTTTGAGGTCGCTGAATCCAAATACATTGCTAACTAATTCTTCTAAAAATACTCACTCTGATGTATTTGGGATCGGTAAATGCGAGCCTGTAATCAGCATTTAAAAATTAAAAATGTCAAATTTATTTTCATTCACACTAAAACTTCTGAATGATCATTTAAACCCGTGTAGAAATGGTGGTCGGGTTCTAGTGGGGACCTCACCAGTTTACCCCATTTGAAAAAGGGCTCCAACTAGAGAAACTGGTGGGGTTCTAGTCGATTTTGTCACGCTCTAGTTGATAGGGCCCCGACTAGAAGTTCTAGTTCACTTCTACCGGTTTTAAAAATTATTATTTTTCAACTTAACTTATTTATAATTGAATTCTCCATTCATATTAACATTATTAATGATTGTTGCACACGAAAAATCTCGTGCCTATGAGGGTTCCAACCTTGGACCTTGGGGACACCAGACGGATACACATACCTCTCGGCCATGATAGGTTGGATGGACTTCCGCTTAAAGTACATCCCGTTTGGAAATTCCGCCATTTGTCCCTATCTCTAGTAGGGCTCTCGCTAGATTCTGACTAGAATCTCTAGTCGAGAAAAACTAGTCGGGTTCCAATCTAATTCTAGTTAGATGATTCTTACAAGCATTATTTATTAAAAAAGTTTGCATATTATTTGATTACTTAATTTTTTAATTATTTAAACAAAATCTTTTATTTATTAAGTAAATTAAAAAAGAATAAACCATAAATAAATATTAATTATGTGGATATAATTAATTTTTATTAACTAAATATTGTAATATATTATTTATTATTATATTATTTATTATTATTATTATTTATTAAAACAATTATAGTAAATATAAAAATATAAAAAGTAATGTAATAAATTAGTTATGTTTAATTTTTCAATAACGTTATAGATATAATTAATTCATAATATTTTGAATTTTAGGGAGTTATTATTCATCACTCTTATTTAACTCTGCATTCCTAATGATAGTTAATAGTAATTAATTATGACATTATTGAAAAATTAAACATTACTAATTGCAGTGCTTTTTATATTTACTATAATTATTATAATTATATTATTCAATTTATTATTGTAATTATAATATTATAGCATCTTTTTAATTATTATTAAATACTTGCATTAATTGTGAAAAACATTTTAAAGTATAATTGCACATACATATCTTTTTAAAAAAAAATTATTTTTACGAATAATATTACAATATTTAGGTAATAAAAATTAGTTATACCCACATAATTAATATTTATTTATGTTTTATTCTTTTAATTTACATATTAAATAAAAGATTTTTATTTAATAAAATTGCTTTATTGGAATTTTTTGTAAAAATATTCTACAATATTTAAAATTTTGTTTAAAAAATGTTAAAAAATTAAATAATTAAATAATATGCAAAATTTTTTAATAAATAATGCTAGTAAGTTTTTCTATCTATTAATCTGAATTATTTATATCTATAGAAAGATAATTTATGTATGTCATACTTGTACACTAGTTTGTCTAGTTTGAAATCGATAAGGTCCTAGTGAGTTTTTCCCAGTCTGAATTATCTAACTAGAATTTGATTGAAGCCCGACTAGTTTTTCTAGACTAGAGATTCTAGTCAGAATCTAGCGAGGTCCCTACTAGAGATAGGGACAAATGGGGAAATTTCTACACGGGAACCTAGGCTATTGGGACTTTTTAAAGTATAGAAGAAATTTATGTAGTTTGACCTGTTGAATCTTTTTTCTTCCTCTTCTTCTCAACTCATTTAGTCCCAAAAGACCGTTTTTTTCTCTTAACATTTGCACTTACCATTTTCAAAGATGTTGGGCTAAAATAAATTTGCACATCGTGTTTTTTATGTATTTTTCGTCCTTATTCAGCATCTGCAAGAAAATTGAACTTTTGACTTGAGGATTGAAAGTTATGATTGTTTATACAAAAAAAACACCAAATTTTTTAAATTTTTGTTTCATTAAAACTATATTTTCGATTTAAAATCGCATCGGACAAAATTTGGTCTGACAAAATATCGCGTATGACCTTTTATTTAAGCCGACAATAGCGGACGCATTTTCTCATCACAAAACAAATTGTTTTTTTAGTCACAAATATTGAAAAAAAACTTGTTTCATTACATATCACTCTTATTTTGATAGTTGCAATGAATGTTCAGGATAAAAATTGTTTAACAATATTATTTAAAAAAAGATTTAAATTAAAATAAAAAATTTTCATTATACTTTCACTTAAAATCTATTTTTTCACTTTCCACTTTATCTATAATTTAATTTTCCCTCAAAAATTGTATATTCACTTAAATTTCACTTAAAATTACTTAAATCATGTTTACCGATTCGATTTGGCAAATGTTTACCTACGTGGGTATCTACACACGTATTTGTTAGACATTTGGTAAATGTCAAATAAATCTGTTATTAAATAAAATTTGATAGAAAAAACGGTTGGAAATTATAAAGGAACATTGAAGAATGAAATAATGCATAGATTGTTACAAATAAAGCTTTAAATAATAATAATAAACTAAAATGTGCAAAGATTTTATAGAGATTTTATAGCACTGTTATTTTTTTATTTCCTTATGGAAAAGTTGTAAATAAGGAGAAAAATAATTTACGCATGGGTAAAGGAATGTAAAAATATTAATTACGTCTATTAATAAGACTGATTAGACAATAATAGTTGTAATTTAATTAAATGTCAATTGTTACTTTAGAAAGGCAACTTACGTATAAATCTTTAAGAATATTATATAACAATATTCTTTTAAGTAATTATTTTTTAATCTAGACTTGCGTCTACTAACTAAATAGTCGTCAACCAACTACAATTCTTTTTTTAAGGAATAAATAGTATATTAAGCAACAATACGATTTTTTTTTATTCCAAAGGTACAAAACTGGCGACTTCAGATAGCAGACGACAGGAAGTAAAAGTCATTCACTTGTTCGACTTGTATGAAAATGGCGGCCTTTTTTCCCATGAGCACAAATAACGCATGGGACTAGCTGTTTTTTTGCCCATGGGAAAAAAGTCGACATTTTCATTCAAGTGAACAAATGAATGGCTTTTAGTTCCTGTCGGCTGCTATCTAAAAGCACCTATTTTGTGAGAGTGAGTAAGAGAGAGAGAGAGAATTTTGCAATAAGAATTAAAATAATCCATCAGGCCGTTTTTGAAAAAAGTAGATTTTAGTATTTCCATCCTGAACTCTGTATACCAGCACTTTAAAAAAAGGTACAAAATCAAATTTAATATTAATTTCATGAGTGTACAATAGTATTTTGGATCGCATAATCTG